AGCGTATTGAAACATAAATCAACCCTGCCAGTAGACTACCTACGCCTAGTTCAGTACCCCATCAACGAAGGATCTCAGAATGTGATGTCCAGTCTCAACAAGTGAAAACCTGAACAGCCGCATGGTGACTATTGGACCAATAAGTCACGACAGTAGACTTCTAAAATGTTGCTGAAGTGTTATGTATATAACAGAGCCTGTGATAAAGGTCGGCGCGACTTTGTTTACCTATCCTCAAACGTCAAGTACAGGTCTTTTTCTAAACTTCTGTTCTACTATAGCCAGTGTCTCAAAGCAAAACTACAACTTAAGTCATTTTAGATTGCGCCAATAACCAAGTGGCTTGCTCAGTGACTTTTTAATCAGCTGTCTTACTCAAGTTTCACTCACAACCCTTAAGCCAAGCTGCATATTGGCCCTGCTGCCTGAGCTGGGCGATTGGTTGTCGACCCCTGGCGGTGGGTGACGGGCGTCTGTGGGCCCGCAGCCGACCCAGAGCCAGCACCAGACCCTCATTATCGAGGAGTTCGAGCCGGACGTGTTCCGGCAGCTGATCGAGTACGTGCACACGGGCTGTGTCACGCTCCAGCCGCGAACACTGCTCGGTGAGTCGCCTCGTGACGGCGGTTGCGCCTCGGCCGCGTCACACACCGCGTCACGGCGGCTGCGTCTCGGCCGCGCCACACTCCGCGTCACGGTGGCTGCGTCTCGGCCGCGTCACACACCGCGTCACGGCGGCTGCGTCTCGGCCGCGCCACACTCCGCGTCACGGCGGCTGCGTCTCGGCCGCGTCACACACCGCATCACAGCGGCTGCGTCTCGACCGCGTCACGCACCGCGTCACGGCGGCTGCGCCTCGGCCGCGTCACACACCGCGTCACAGCGGCCGCGCCTCGGCCGCGCCACACACCGCGTCGCAGCGGCTGCGTCTCGACCGCGTCACGCACCGCGTCACGGCGGCTGCGCCTCGGCCGCGTCACACACCGCGTCACGGCGGCTGCGCCCCGGCCGCGTCACGCACCGCGTCACGGCGGCTGCGCCTCGGCCGCGTCACACACCGTGTCACGGCGGCTGCGCCTCGGCCGCGTCACACTCCGTTACGTGAGTTGCGCCCGCCGCGCTTAAAGGAGTGTTTCATATTTGAAGATATTGACGCGAGCATCAGATATGACAAAGCATGCTTATTTATGATAATGTCATGCTTTTAAAGGCAGTGTTTCACATTTATGCGAGGTTTTGAACTGAGATAGCCATCTCAAAGACCTTTCGGTGCTGTTCATAGTCATGCCCTCCTTAAGACCTAAGCCCCTCTAGAGTCTGAGCTATACGCCCGCGAAAATGGGGAGAAGTATATCGGGGAGAGTACCTAGATACCTGGCCGTATCGAGGACCACGGCCCAGAAAAATATTATTGTCACAGCGCTCATGTCCGCCGTTTATGAGCGCGATTTCCAGATATAACGGTGGTCAACTGGCTCTCGATCAATGTCGCGCAAGGTCTAAAGCATGACGCAATGAAGAGCATATCTACTAAACAGAGAATCGTGCCGTCTTTAGCGGTCTTTCTCACTTTAAACGTATACCAACAGTTGTGAGTGGCCTTGTTTCATCACAATCTGATGCATGTTTTCAATATCCTCAATGTGAACCATTCCCTTTAAGTGAAAGAGACTGGTCTGGACGGCACAATTCTCTGTTTAATAAATTTGCTCCTCAAAACGTCATTGTTCGATCACATCACAGTACCTTGCGCAGCATTGCTTCACAGTCAATTGACGGCCCGTTATATTCAGAAATCGTGCTCACAAACGCCAAGATATGAACGACTTCACACTTATATTTATATTGACCTTGATCGCCGCATGGCTAATGGAATGGCAGGATTTGAATGACGTCATGATGGTGTCATAAATGTCAAGGCGGCTTTGAAAATAGTCTCCCCGAAATGTTCTGCACGTCTTCGCGGGCGTGTAGCTCAGAAACTGGAGGTGTTTAGGCCTTAATAAAGGCAGGACTGTGAACTGCGCCAAACAATCTACGAGATCGATTTTTCGGTTCAAAATCCCATGCAAATGCTGAACATTCCCCTTAAGACTACACCGACATGACCACGCCGCCGCCCAGCCCGCGGAATCCGCTGGCGTCTGTCAGGAGAGCGAGGCGCCGTGTGTTCCTGTGACGCCAAATGACGGGCGCCAGCGACAGTCAGCGCCCGGTGGAGAGGACCTTGCTGCGCGCCGGTGACGTATGAACCCCGCTCACGCAGGTCTCATGAACGCCGCTGACTACTACGGACTAGACGAGCTGCGGCGGGCCTGCGCCGGCTTCGTCCAGTGCTGCATCAATGTCGACACCGTTTGCGCTCTGTTGGCTCGGCAGAACGATACATACAGTACAAGTGCACCAAGTCTATGGTGCAGAAAGTGAGCGGTGGGAGGGGGGGGGGGGGGGGAGCGGTCGTGCTGGGAGAGTAGACCCACTGCAGTGCATCTGTTTAGCCCAAAGCGTCTGTGGATACGCTGGGAAACCGTCCACAGACGCCGGGCCAGTCTCCTGACCGCCATTGATGGAGCGTTTTAAACAGTCTATGCAATGTAAAGCGCTGAGCTTAGTTCGTGCCAGAGCCAGAGCCTCTGAAATGGGAGCTTTCAAAGACATTTTTAATAGCACCTGCTGTGGCCGTCGCAAACCAGTCATAGCAAATTACCGCTTCGCACCGGGGCCCTCTGAGGGCACCGTCTTCGGGCTGGACTACAACGCCAACACGCGGGGTTAACGCATGCAGCAGAAGGCGTGCCAATATGCTCTTCCGCACCTTCAGTGTTCGCTGTTTTTAGGTACCTATATGTCGTATATACCGCACTACGTCACGTCTATACATTTATCGCACTATCTCATTTAGCGCCTGGCTGAGCGTGATACGTTTCAACACTATTTCAGGTTTTGGAGTTCGTTGATCTCCATGGTAACGAGGTGTTGAATCTGGGCTCGTTCACGCTGCTACCGCAGCATGTCGTGCGTCTCATACTGGCCAGGGAGCTCAAAGCCGACGAGGTTACCAAGTTCCAGGTGGGTCTTAGCCATATGTGCGTCTCACGCATTTTTCGTGGATGTAGTGAAGAATTTTTGAATTCCGTGAATCGGAATCGATTATCGAAAAGGCATGCACTCGGGGGGGGGGGAAGGGGGAAGTAGGATCTTGCGGAGTCAGCCTGCGGATGTGATGCAGGCGAACAGAACATAAAGCTCAGGCAGGGACGAAATGTTCTTCTTCACCATTTTTGGGGGCATAGCCACGTTGTCTCCTCGCCCCCCTCCCCCCCCTCTTCCGCGCTCACTCCTCGCACCTGTCAACCGGCACGCACGCACGTGTTGTGGGTTCTGGAGTCGCGCGTGGCTAACCACGCCGCCCTGTGTCCTGCAGGCGGCGCTGATGTGGTCAAAGAAGTACTGCGATAACTCGAGCCTGGACTTGCGCGAAGTTATCTCCACCTTCCTCGAGTTCATCCAGTTCCACAAGGTGCCGGCCACGATCCTGATGAAGGATATCCACCCGCTGGGCATCGTGCCGGACCACATCATCATGAACGCGCTGGCCTTCCAAGCCGACCCGAGCAGCGTGGAGCCGGCCAAGATGTCGCCGAAGCGAGTCAGCCGGCGGCGCGAGCTGTCCGTGCAGAGCTCGCTCGACCCGTACGGCAGCACCACCACCCTCTCCTCCAGCACGTCCAGCGACATCAACAGCGACCGCCATAGCTCGGACGGCAAGCACAGCTCCGAGGGCGGCTTCACCGGCTCGCCGCTAGGCCGGCCTACCTAGGGCAGGCTTCACTAGGGCGGGCCCACCTAAAGAAACGTGTTTGGGGCCGGCCCAACCGGGACGGGTTCAACTGGGACAAGTCCGCCTAGAGGGCGCACGCTTGAGGCGAGCGTACCTTGGGCGGGTGTACATGGGACAGACCCACACACCAGGGCAAGTTCACCTAGGACATGCCCACCTGGGGCCGGTTCACCTAGGGAGGCTGGCCTGGAGCCAGCTGGCTTGGGACAGGTCTACCACTGGCCGACTAGCGTGCGACAGGCCTGTCAACGGCCGGCATGTTCGCGGCGGTTTGCCCCGGGCAGTATCTAACAGGTCGGGCACGACTCCAGGCCTGGCTCGTGTTGGGTCCACGTGCAGTTCTTGCCACACGCCCCTCAGCGGCGGACCGGTGTCTCCACAAGTGCATGATCCGTGCATGAGGGTGCGCCGTCAGGTCTGACACCGCTTGTCCGGCCTGGAAACTGGCCAACCTCGTCTCAGTTCGCCGTTCGTGGTCAGCTGTGACCTTCACGGGTAAGGTTGCCTTCACCCCGTCCGCCCGTTATGCATAGGCCGTGCCCGTACCCATCCGATACACAAGCTAAATCGGCTTCACCCACCCGTTATCCACCTGTTTACATTTTTTTCTGCCCTGAATTCTAAAACACGTAAAATTTCGGGAAAGTTTGCAGCCAAACTTATTATTTTACATTGACATTTGCAACATCGGTGTGAATGAAGCTAATTATTGCTAAGATAATCGCAACTAGTAACTTTGTGTCGTCTGGGAAGTAAGAGATACGTGGTTCGAATCCCCGCAGTCACCATCCTTCCTGCCGGGCTGAGGGCAGGCGCCGCAATACAGCTTCAGCAGCCGGTGCGTCGTCAAGCCGCGCTGACAACGGTCGCATGGCGTGGGGTTTCTTGCAACATCTACTTGACAATGCGGATACATCCACCCAGTACCAGCGATTCTCCGCAAAGCTGTACCCATCTCAATCCGTTCCCCATTCCATATGGATCTCCATGGGTGTACCCGACCCTTGAAGTCCTCCAGCGGTCGGCGCCCGTGGCTACCGTCTGACGTCACGTGATGCCCCACCACTGCCCGGAGCGGAGGCCGGGCCGAAGTGCGCCGTCCTGTCCAGCGCCAGGGTCTTCTCTGCCATGTGGAGACGCGGTGAGATAACGAAACTCCCCGTGGACCTCGTTCAGACCACGGAGACGCGGTTGGCAAACACTCCCTGTACGCGCGCACGTGATGCCCCCGGGGGACGGCCACCGCACAGCCGGTGAGGGGTCAAGGGCGTGCCATTATCGCAGCGCGGCCCCGTTGCCTCCCGTTCGCCCACTCCTGACCATCCCGGGCCTGACGCGCCCGCCGAATGCACACCAGTCCTAGCCAATCGTCGTTTCCGTTGCTTCACGGCGTGCCGGTTTGCTCTATATCGTGCCGTATGCCAATGAAACCACTCGGAGTATCTCACATCACGCGGACCCTCTCAGCGGCCGATCCCGAGTGTAGGTTTGGTGTCCGTCGCTGCAGATGTCGCGCCCCTTTCGCACGTGCCGGGATCAAGTCAAGTAAGCCGATCTGTCGTCTGGATCTGTCATGACAGCGGAGAACGCCCGGCGGATGGGCACGCGCACACGTCCGCCGCGTACTGTCAAAGATGTCGCCACTGTCGCAATGTAATGGTGTCCGTCTTCGCCTGAATTGTACGTGCTTTGCTCGTGTGGAATGTGTGCGCGCGTGGGTGGCACCGGACATGGCGGAGCCGGGACCTTCGCGGCACTCTACCCCGGTGACGTCACAGGATACGAACTTGGGGGACATAGGAGGGGACGCACCCAAGAGGACGGGGTGGCGACTTCCCCGGTACTAGCCAGGCCGGCGCGGTCGGTGGGGAGGCGGGTGTGCGGGCTCATATTTTCATAACTGAATTGTAGCTGGTAGTCGTCGACGGTGTGTGTGGTCCCTGTGGCGGCCACCGTGGTGTTGCTGAATGGAATAATGTGATGTACCGATGTGATGTACCGTGTTTGTACCGTTCAGTACGGGGATGTCTAGCACAAGAAATAAACATCGATCCGTGTCGAGAACAGCCCGTGTGCAGCCCGCAGCCATGAAGCAACGCCGCGTGCTCGTGACGGACGGGAGCGTCAACACCATAAGCCAGGCAAGTATCTAACATGGCTTCGGGCCTCGCGCTGCTAGGCAACACTTGGTAACTGCTCGTACACATCGGAAACCACTTCGGAAACATGGAAACATAATAAAAACCAGGTAACTGCAATTTGCGCACTATTATTGGACCGAGGTAAACCCATAGCAGCATTGCTGCCCACTGACCACCTGCATTTATCCGATGCCGCTGCGTGTACCCGCGCACGCCTTACGTTCTCGCCGACATGTCCCACTAACACATACTATGGGCGCGGGCCTCGGCGCCGGCGGGTACCGGCACCGCCCCGTCAGCAGGCCGACCAGACCAAACATGCCCCATTAACACATACACTGGGCGCGGGCCTCGGTGTCGGCGCGTACCGGCGCGGCCCCGTCAGCGTGCCGACCAGACCAAACCTGAACACACCGGACCGGACCGGATCAGACCAGATCAGAGCGCAGCAGACCAGACTGGACCAAACCAGGTCGAACCAGACCAAAGCAGACTGGACTGGATACAACTGAATCAGACCCGGTCAGATCGGACCGGATTGGGCTGGAACAAACCAGATCAACAGCGGGCGCTCCGTTCCAGTAGCTTAAGTGGCTAGGGCGCCTGCCTTGAGGTTCAGTCGTCCGTGGCGAGCAAGGCTCGAGTCACTTTAAACGCAGGCACTTTGCTCATGATTGGGATGACCTACGGCCGGTGGCAGTGGCCAGGCTTAAGGTCAGAAGACGTTCGAGGTTGGGGCTGGCCGTGCCGAGCATTACGGTACGTGAAACCTTCGCCACAAAATCTGTCATTGACTTGCAATTCCCCGATCAGGTGATGTCGGGGCTCACGCACCACGCACTGTTTGGTGTGTGTTCTGATCCCCAAAATAGATCCAATAAAAAAGTTCGGACTAAATTTTCAAAGAAAATAAAATACCCGGTTTAGACTGAGACTGGCAAATGAACCACGCCACACAGCACTGGCTCGCTCGCAGTGGTTGAACAGGACTGGACTGCGCTGGACCCGAGGAATCTGGCCCGGGCGTCAGAACGGCCTGGAGCTGAAGCTGCGCCGCCGACCGTCCACAGAGCCTCCAATCTCAGGCACGCGCTAGGATTGGCGATAACTCACGGTGATGATGTTCTGCAACCCGACGGACGGGAGGCAGCAAGCCAGCCTGTCCCACCCAGAGCCCGCTGGCGTGCGCTCGCTCGCACGACACGCAGCCTGTCCCACCCAGAGCCCGCTGTCGTGCTCGCTCGCGGGACATGCAGCCTGTGCCGGCCAGACGTCCCCAGCGGTTGTTTCGGGAGAGCGGCTCGCCAGGCGTCAGGGCTTCAGGTTATCTCCTGACCGGACACGGAGCAGGCCACCGGACCACGGCGCATCAGTCGATCGCGTGTATTACCCTGCGAGTATTGCAACCGGGACCCAGCCGCTCACAGTGTGCCTGGCTACGCAGGCGAGACGCCACATCAAACCTGCAGAACACGCCGACACGAAACACGCCACGCGGATACGCACCCCACACGCACCAATACCACACATAAGCGATGCCGACGGGGGCTGCAGTCCGCGACCGGTCGTAGGTCCGGCCGCACTCCTCTGAGGGGAGCCGTGCCATCTGATGGTCTCCTGTGGGACGGGGGGCGGGGGGGGGGGGGGGGAGGCTGGGGAGGAAAGACCGGAGCAAAGCAGCTAAACGAATTCCGGAGAATGCGCCGAGTCGGTTTCATAACGCGCTCGATGGCAGATTTTCGCTATTTTTGAGTTTCCGACTACATCACTGCACTCAATCATGAGATCCAAACGGGACAAATCGAACGGCTCGGTCTTAGTGACGAAGCGAGACACGCTGCTGACAGGAGTGTGCCCAAATGTTACGTAAATCTCCGGGATCCATCAATGAGACGGAATGCTCGCCAGTCTACAAAATAATGCGGCAGCTGAACAAAAACAGGTTGAAAGTACATCAGGTGGGTCTGTTGGCACGCCAGTCAGCAGTAACATCACATGCCAACCAAACTTCGTCGGCCACGCCGGAAGCTGGCGAAACAGGACGGCCCGGCCTCTCGGCGAGGTAAACCGTCAAGTTCACGCCAATTCCAGCTAACGAAAGCATAACCATGCCAGGGATGAAAGTTGGCGGCGTATTGACCTATGCAGATAGGTAATGGGGCGATAGTCATTTTACAACACGGTTGACCAATCAACGAACACATGGAGCCACCCTGGCGGCAGTTCAACAAAATAGAAGCTCCAAACCATTGAATAACAAAGGAGATAAACTCATTCAACTCATTCGCCGGACCGAGCCGAGGGGCAGCCGCGAATGACACGCACTGCGCCGTCATTTACGGCGACTTCTGGGAGCGCACTTGAAGCCAGCAGAAGGATCGTTTCAACGGAGGGGCACGGACCAGCGTCAACCTGCACTCAACCATGCAGGAAGACCAGCGCCGTGACTGCAGACCAGACGCTCCGGGAGACAGACGTGCCGATGGCGTCAGCCGGCGGCCGCACGCCCGCACCGGCCGCCGGCCGCTGGCCGCGACACACCAGCGCGGCGGGCAGGACCGGCCGGCCAGCACGGCAGCCGACCGAAGGCGGCGCCTCTCACAGCGCCTTCACCTTCATCTGGCGCATCTGGGCGCGTCGCTTGGCCTCGCGCTTCTCGGTCTTCTCCTCGAGGCGGCGCTGCTTCTCGGGGTCCTCCTCCTCCATGATGCGCTCCTTCTCCAGGCGGCGCTTCTCCTCGCGCTTGGCCTGCGCCTTCTCGGCGCGCGACTGGTGCGTCTGCTTCAGGTACGCCTCCTGCACGCGCAGTCGGTTCTTCTCCGCCTTCAGTCGAGCCTGGCAACCACACAGCAACGGTCACTCCGCGCCAGCACGGGAGGACGGGGCGCGACACCGTCAACTGGCGCCCAATGACCTCTCATACACTGTAAGAGTGACAGCCGCTTTGGGACTCAAGCGGGCCCACACGGATGAGAGGGCATGAGGATTTGTGGCAAATGAATCCTAGTTTAAGTTGGCCGCGAAGTGATCAACTTACTAAAACTGCACAGAATAAAACACAAGGGAGGAACGCGCCTCGGAATGGTACCTACCAACACAATGCACCACCCAATATGCAGCCGTGCTGGCAAAACTCACCAAGTCCGCCACAATACAGCCATCTCTGATAACGTCACGCCACCGTAAGGAAGCACGGTGAGCAGTGCTGTTCCCCGCGCGTGTCCCGTGCCGCGCGGCGGCCGTGCCGGTCGCCTTACCTCCCTGCCGAGCTTGCAGCGCTTCATGCGGTCCACCATGTAGAGCACGAGCTGCATGAGCGGCCGCACCGTCTCGACGTCGGCTGGCAGCAGGCGGCCGCGGCCCGGCAGGTTGAAGCCGAACGCCAGCGTCGGCCGCACCTTGGGCGGCTCCACTGGCGCCGAGTCGTCGATCTGAGGGCGGCGGCGGTGCCATGAGCGGACGTCTGGGCGAGACGCCACACGCGCGCGCCTCTCTCGCAGCGCTGCGTCGGCCGAGAGGTGACGCCAGAACACGGCGTTTGTCGAACCTCGCGTACCCGTCCGTCAGCCGGAGCACGACTCCTCCACCCTGGCCCGCCTCTCTCGCAGCGCTGCGTCGGCCGAGAGGCGACGCCAGAACACGGCGCTTGTCGAGCCTCGCGAACCCGTCTGTCAGCCGGAGCACGACTCCTCCATCCCAGCCCGCCTCTCTCGCAGCGCTGCGTCGGCCGAGAGGCGACGCCAGAACACGGCGCTTGTCGAGCCTCCCGTACCCGTCCGTCAGCCGGAGCACGACTCCTCCACCCCAGCCCGCCTCGACTCCAAGGTTCATGTGTGCTCTAACACACCACACGCTTCGCTCCCCAATACTGGCCTGTCTCCTGCGGTAAAACGCCGTGTTTCGGCCTCAAGCACCGGTCAACGCGCACGTTTTTGGGTTCCCAACGTCCATTCCGTCTGTCGCTCCACACACACCTCCCGGGGCCCCAACGCCGGACCATTCCGCCCATTCCGACCGGGGCTGGCCGCTTGCGCCTGCACCGCACCCACCTGCTTCGGCCCCGAGTACTGATCGGACACGTGAATGAAGTCCACCAGGTCGGGGTACTTGTTGACGACGGCCGTGACGCGCGAGTCCAGCACCGCCGCCGTCGCCTCGTGGATCTCTGACATGAGCGAGAAGTGCGCTGGCAGGCCGTGCCGCTCTGCCGACTTCCGCTCCGGACAGTACGTGTTCTGTGGAGGGGCATGGGTGTGGAGGTCCCGGTCGGGGTCGGCAGCCCGGGACCCGGTTGCTGCAGCGGGCTGTGAGCTGCGCGTCCATGGCTGGTCGTGGACTACGCGTAAAAAAAACCGAGCCTTTTTATGTCAGGCACCCATATGCTCAATTCCAGCTCACACCAAGCTTACGAAGGAAGGGAACAAATCATGTGTCAATGCTTACAGCATGTTACTGCGGATAACAATGCTAACCAGCAGCATAAGCGCACTTACGGTGCTCGCCCTTGGAACAACCACATGGCCAATAGCTTTCAGCACAGCGGCCGCATGCTAGAAGCCAAAATGTTGTACAGGGCACATGTTATATCTTTCATGGAACACACTACATTACAAGGAGCAACGACTGCCGCTTGTCGATACCTCCGCGACGTCTTCCCCCACCCCCAACGCGAAACAAATGTGAAGGAAGGTCTGAACTCTCACCAGATCGGTCATCTCCTTGGCCAGCTTGGCCGCCGACTTCTTGCTGGCTAAGCAAAACACAAAGGTGTCCATCTCCTCCGGATTCATCGTGACCTTTATTTCTACTTGGTCTGAGGCAGACTTCATCATGGTGGACATGACAGACACAAGGTCCTGACGCTGAAAAAAACAGCCGACAAAACGTTATCCATACACACAGCAACAACAAGCTACACGAAATATTATGCATTTTGTGCAGATTTGCGTTCTTTCTATCCCGCTAATCTTTCCTAGTTGCTGACGGTGTTCAGACTTGCGCACGTGACAGGTAATCCATCGCCTTTCATTACAGCCTGTCACGTGGCGGCATGTCGACGCATGCGTGCACGCGCATTACAAACAGATCACGACCACGACTGCAAATAAGGAAGGCAAAAGACAAAGCCTCAGAGCCCATGTGTAGTGTTCAGCATCCCTGCGGCAAACGTGACAAGGCAGACTGAGCGCGGGCAACACAACGAAGTCGTTTCAAAACACAGATCACAATATGGACAGACGGCACATTGCCTCCGCAAAATGATAAATTATGCATACAAGGGCACACACCATTGACCCAACACAGAACGGCTCACCAACTGGGCCGGGCGCGGGCAGGCAGTATCCACGGGTGCACTACAACAGCGTACACACAGAACCAGGCATGGCACGTACGGAGCGCGGCGGCCGCCTACCTTGAGGAATTTGAGCTGCACGAGCATGCCTTCGCAGCAGACGCGGCCGCTGCACCAGAGCGTGTACGTGTTCTCAGACTCTTTCAGCAGGGCGCCGCCGCCCGGCTCCGCCTTACCGTCGTCCCCTGCCAACCACACGCTTTCAAATCACGACAAACCTCGCCAGAACGCTCAGCACATTCTGAACAGCGATCTACAGCATTGTTCGGCACGACAGAGAGACGTCTCAGCACGAGACCTTGCCATATCTGCTGCCAATGAGGTCAGGCAGTGGGTTAGAGGATCACAAGGGGCATCCCAGTGTCACAAGAAAAGACTGACACCGTTCGTCTCATAGTCCCAAGATTGAGACACGGCAGACGTTCGACTTGAGCGCCAGCCAAGCACGCACTTCAAACCGAAAACACGGCAACTCACGGTCACAATATTAAAGACAGCAATAGCCATGCTTGTGGTGTTTTGAGAGTGAACAGGTACTCGTTACACCACTGGGGGCACCAGTGCACTGACCGACTAGTGAAAAGTTGCTCTCCAGCAGTGGCTTGTGGGCGGCCAGCCAGGCATTCGCCAGCTTCTGGTTCCGAGTCTTCCCGGACACGAAGTTGATGAAGTAGACAACGATGCCAGCAATCATCAGCATCTCCACGTAGAACTTGTCCCAGTTGGTGGAGCGATGGACAGGAACCTAGAAGAGCAGGGCCAGCATGTGGTCGTGTATTAAGTCCGGCGGACCGCCTGCCGATCAGAACTTCACGCCTACTTCTATCGCGTTGAATATGTACGGGAAAAGTATACCCACAGCAAACTATCATTGTCATGCTTATCTCACCTTTCCACTAGATTACCCATAACCATATTCATGGCAACTGATGCCCAAATGGTTCCCACAACATCAGCATGTAAGGTCCTGGAGTAGAAACGGTCCCCCTTACATTCGCGATCGTTATTTTCGGCTGCTCCTTGCTGCCTTGACTTGGCGATGCGGATTCAAAGCCCTCAAACTCCTCCTCATCTTGAAAATGTTCAAATTCATCTTCTGTCTGAAATCAAGAGATACAGATCTGATAACAACAAACGTGCACACTGCATAAATGCTAACAACTCTGACATCTCAATACCCCACTGCCACTCAGAGCATGTGTAAGTGGCGCAACCCAGTGTCACTACATTGTCGCCCACAGTGCAAAGACAAAAACAAAATGCCTTGTTAATCTTCTGCCCACTCACTGCTAATATTCTGCTCGGACTCTACTCACCTCCACCAGCCCGTCGTCGTCGTCCAATACTGCATCCTGTACAGGACTAGGAGTTGTCTTCCTCTCTGGCTCCCGCGGCTCCTCCTTGGTCTGGTATGGCTTTTCGAACTCGTCGTCGTCAAACTCCTCAAAGTCGGCAAAGTCGTTGTCCTCGGTCTCGGCCTGGTACTTGGAGGCGCGCACATACAGTGAGAGCACCAACAGCACCAGCAGTGTCTTCAGACGCACGTCCACCATGGTAAGCCCTGCACCAAATAAGCAAACTTATCAGCAAATGACAAGGATATTCATAGGCATATTACCACACAAAATTGGCATGTATTATCACTCTATGGCACTGTAACATCAGCAAATATTACACCATCTAATAAGACAACACTTAATTTCCAGATTGCTATGCCAATTCAGTGAGATCATATACATAATCACCAAAGCACAACATGGAGTTGTCGGATGCTCCAGATTTGAAATCCTGAATGTCTATGTTCATTATGATGGCAAATTCATGGATACTGGTTGAAACTTTGATGATAACTTTTGGTCTATTGGAAGTGCCAGCAAGAATTTATTGGGAGTGCCACATACAGGAAAGGTATCTTTTCTAGGTTTTGTCCAAGTTTTTCATAGAATGGCTTTCTGGGACCAGTGATGGGTCCCCATGCTTATCATTGTTTGATGTGTGAGCCCTAACACCACTATCCAGCTGTGAAATTCCAGGTAAGTGGCAGAATTTTGTGGAGACCATGGAAGGTGCTACAATGCTCAGGACAGTCTACCATGCTACCCTGACCTCAACTATGGTAGCTAACACCAGCCGCAGCCCATCCTAGTCAGTGGCAAATAGCAAGCACCAACAGCAGCTTGAACCCAACCTTCACCTATGGGATGATCCAAAGACAGGAGCTCTAACCAACTGAGCTGTGGGATGGACCATGCAGTGCCTACTTATGTAAGTACATGCAGACCCATCCAGACTTTCTACTTATGGAGTAAGTTACTGGTTGACAACCAGTCCTTTCTTCCCAAGCAATTTAACCAGATAGGGGAAGGAAAAAACTTTTGAGAAAAGTGATCCCCACCCACTAATAATGGGCCACATAGAAAATTGTGCTAGAAACCCTTATGAAAAAGATCTGTAATCACCAACTGCTGTTCTTGGGGCTTCATTATGTACCCAGCAGATGAGGCTATATGGTATCACCTCCCCACCGCTTTGGCAGGAAATTGGGAAACTCCCTAACACTGGCCCTTGGGGGACACCACTCGTGAGTTTTGCCTAAGCTGAGCACTGCCCTCCTGCCAACACTCTGTTAATGCCCTGCAAGGAAAGCTGCAGCCAAACTCACAACTTTTGCATGAGCTTTTCACTTCTCAAATTTCACCACCAGCCTGCAAACTATCAAAAGCTTTCCTGAAAACATGTACATGGAATCCACTGGCACTCAAAGTTCCAAGATTTGTGACCACTTGTCAAGCACATACAGCAGCTGGGTCATGCAGGAACACCCAAGGAAGAAAACCATGCTGATGGGCAGAGGGAAGAAAAGATATCCAAGAGCCTCCATAATAAATGATCTTGCATTTAACAACAACTTATTAGTTTCAGAGGCAAGCTTTGGAAAAGACTTTCCATTTGCACTTCTAAGCGTGGCTATTAATTTTGAGTAGACCTAGCTAGTTGTATGTGTAAAGAGCTCAGCTGGGAATATGCTCACAAGAGTGCAAGATCCAATTTGCATATATTTCATTTGTTTTTCCAACCAAGCCAATTTTTGCATATTGCTGGCAAAATATAGTATATGAGATTGTGTTGCAACAAGTACTCTTTAGCATGGCATGGCATCTATTCTAAGTTATGCATGTGATGAATAGTTACACATTAAACCTTATAAGCTGTTAGAGTATAACCATATCCTGCTCTTTACACACCTATGGAAACTCAGTTTTTTTTTTACTGAACTTCACTCACAATACAGCTATGAAGGAGACAATCACACCTGCTCCATGAAACTTGATTTCCCTCTATCAAGAACTCCCAATTTCTGCCACCTCAGTGTCATGTCATAATTTTCCTATCACTAAAATATCTTCCACAGGAATAGTCTACAAATTTGGTATATTTCATTTTTAGAGGTCAATGCTTCTTAAATTTGTAGGTTAAACTTGAAGATTTGGGGCTATTCGTGGTGTTCTGAACATTGGTGCATCTTGAAAACAAAGTTTATGTGAGCATGACATGAAGATTTTGGGCCCCCTCACCACATGACTCTGGTGCTACTTCAGCCCAAGGGGACCATGCCCCCCCCCCCCCCCCCCCCCCCCCCCCCTACTCTCAGTGTATCCACCCCTCACTGCACCCCAGCATAACCAAAACCTGGCTGATTGCATAGTCAATGTTGACCCTACCTGAATTAAATGACAACTAAGTGAATGATAACCTTGTTTACTCTTTTACCCATTGAGTATATTTTTGTGGTATGTCTTATTAGGTAGTATGGATATGGCTACTGCAATCCTTGCCATTATAACCCACCAGCATTTACCAAAGAATCTTGGCTTGTGTAAAGAAATGAAACCTGATGAGATGGTGACCTGAGGAAGTGAAAAAACAGCCTTCTCTACACTATGTTGCGCATTTTGTTCATAAGGCATTGCTGTTGCCTCACATGGCACTGTGTGTGTATTTCAACTTCCTCCACCTTGCTTACCACCCGGTTGGTTGCAATGGACAAAAACACCCCGGCGACCGCCTATATTCAACGGCCTCTTCAAACCCCACCCCTAGATAACATACGTACAACTCAACTGCCAAACAATCGCAGGAACTCAGGGGGCCGGTAGCTTGAACCTGTCTTGGATTAGAGTGCGAAACCCCTGGGCTTAAACGCAGGACCGGTATCACAGGTCATGGAAACGCCAGCTCCACACACGCAGCACGGACGAAACTTGGCTTCACTGAGGCTCCATAAATACCTTAGTTTGGTATTTTTCATAAGTTGTACGATTTTGTGCAATAACATGCTATCTTTGAGTATTATAGCATATAAAATAATACGTAATTTATTTAGTGTCATCATTTAAGATATATAAAAATTATGTATGAGGACTACCACTAGGTGCCAAGAGCGTAAATACCATGCCTGAATTCTCATCTTTAAACACAACTGACGTAAGGCCGGTTATAGCAAGCTCTCCGAGTGTAGCGGGAGGGATACATGTACCCGTCGTAAAAACGGTGGCAGGTGGCAGATGCATCGCCGAAAATAATCACAATGCTGACGGAACTTGGTTGGGTGCCTAGTAACATTGAATTAATTTAGTCCAAGCGTTTTGTTACTGAGCCTGATGGTTAAAAAGAGGTGGAAGTTATTTCAGTGTGGAGGACAGCCATGCTATCATTGCAGCGGCCGTGATCTGTTCTTCGTTGAAACTGCTGTCAATTGCCAGGGCAGATTGCTGAAGAACGCAGGAAGGTTTCGCTAAGCTTCCTATGCATTGCCTTAATGTCAGGTTCACAGTGCTCCATTAGGTTAACACAGGGGTTTTAGTTTTTAGAAGCCAAGGCCCTTAAGAATAGGTACTGCAGCTACAGCAGGAGTCAAAGGGCCCTGGTTATGATACATGACTTTCACAGGACCCAGTGTATTGCTTACCATCCTGCTTGTCTTGAAATACTATCAGATTTTCCTGATGGCATTGGAGATCTTTAAGTAAATCTATTGAACCTCCTGGTCTGGTAGCCAATCATCTGTAATGGGTGTAACATGATGTTGTGATGCCAAAGTCCTCTGTCACTTCCCTGTGTTTGGCTGTGTGGCTGTTACCTGGTTATGTATTTTTGTGCAATGATTTTGCTGAAACTGCTCAAGTAATGTAAATTACCCATGCAAAGAAGTGCTTTTGTTATATTTTTGTATACTGGTTGAAGAAAATAGGAGCGAAGTGGGTGAATGCATGCGTTTGCCTGCATTTTTCTCTTCAATTCTTAAGGAGTTTGTCGTCCTGAATTTTTGAAGTGGCCATCACTAGGTTTGGGGAGGCTCTAATGCTATGACAAAATCACAGGGTCAAAAACAGATTACCAGCTGCAAGTTATAAAGCAATGACCTTACATGTTGCTGATGTACTTGAGTCTTGAGACAATCAGGTGCTTCTTGAGATCAAGTCTTTTCATTGCCCCAGCAGTCATAAAATAAAGACTGTGTCCTCAGGTTAGCATACTGGTGGGCTCATGAATTTGTTTTGGACACAATTACTTGGATGGATTTTACTTGGTTTTGGATTTTGCTTACTTACAATTACTTGGTGGATCTGTGCCAACAACCACCTTTAGTTTTTGCTCTTTTATGGCTGGAAGTGGTGCACTTTGCAGAACAAGTGCAAAATATGGAATCACAACACATTTTGTAACATCTGGTGTGCTGGTAGTATGAAGCAATATAGTTGTATGCAGATAATGTATTGAATCTGCTTGAACAGAGGATAGCCATGGTACCATTAACTGAAGCAGTGTGCACTGGAAGTGAAGTCCTCAATCATTTCAGGTTTCCAATCATGTGTGTCATAGTTTGATGACCTCAGAGAACAAGTCCAGGAAGCATGAATTCAGCAAGCAAGGTTTGTTTTGTGACCACCTGCCTGACCCACATGAATGTCTTGTTAATTGTTGGCTTGTATGTGTGCAGACCTCTAAGCTGAGGAAATATTGTGAATAGTAGTATTATCCTGGTCTGGATATATGTGTAGTGTCCTCATGTTTGTGCCCATGTTGAGAAGGGATGTCATAGACATGTTTGGTCATATTGGCCCATGGTATCTGGCAGCAGCTGTGTGGATTTTGGTGCCTTGTCACCTCTCACTATGCTGAACTGCCAGTGGCTGATCAGGGCTGTCACACTCGTCAATAGGTGGGCGAGATCTTTGTGGAGGCTGGCGAGGCATTCAACCGGCTGGGTAATATGGCTGTGCAGCTACAACAGGCATCACCCAATGCCACCAACAGGTGAATCACTGGGATGTCATGATTTGTACATCATTGAGATGTGGGATGCTGGTTTGTTTGCAATTGGGTGTCAGTTCACTCTCCATATATGCTGATATTGTAACTGGTTTATGGCATGCACAGCCCATAACTGCTATCCATGCCTTGGTTCTAGCTGCCACTGGTGTTAATGGGGCACCAGTCCCATTAACCTTTTGGAGCATTGCAGCCGTCGCGTGTTTTGACCTTTGAAACGGCAATAAAGCGAGTAAGACCCTGTAACATTTAGTACCTGACGGCACCCCGGATGCTATATTTATTGACTGTTTCAGTGGAAAATGGCGTGAGGAAGAAATCGAAATGCTTCATGAGGCCGTGAAAAGATTTGGCGCAGACCCTCAGAAGATCGGCGAAATCCTGAAAACACGAAGCGTGTAAGTGAGATTCTGTGATCTTGAATGGAATAATTGTTCGGACTATCGCCCTCGCCTGGCATGAGAACTGCCTGCAAACTGAGACACTAGACCAGGGCGATAGGCCGAATAAAGTGCAATGCGTGTTTTGGTGCTCTGTGCTCATTATTTTCTCAACCTTCTGGAGCTCTGACACCCTCCCATTCCTCCCAACGATGTGTCTGTGCTTTGTGTGCATATTGCTGACGTCTGTGTCGAGACCTTCCATATGAATATCATGTTTGGTGTGATGGCTAGGCGAATCGCGTGGCTTCGCAGCGGCCAGACTCGTACTTTGGGCAAGATTACGAGGCCTGTGGGGCAACGTTACTAGCGTGACATAATCTCCCCATAGAATGCGCTGAACGACATAGCAGTTTCATGTCCACAGCAGACAGATTCGTAATGCCGTGATCGGGGTCGGCTGCCCCGTCCCCCCCCCCCCCCCCTCGAGACCCCAGGACTCTGGCGTAGCACCGACCGCTCTTGTGGTCTATCGCCAGGAGCCAGATCCGTAACGCGCTCAAGACGAAAGCCTTCGGCGGAGCGCAGGCGCACGGCGGGGCGGCGGCGCGGCCGCGGCCGGCGCCTAGCGCCAAACAGCAGGCCAGCCTGGCGGTCAAGTCGGACGTGACGCTCAATATGCTGAACGTGGGCGGCGCCGATCACGACGCCGGCATGAGTCAGGACTATTTCGACGGGCCCACCGAGGAAGTGGCGTAACCGGTCCTACCGTCCGCGACAGTGGCCGTGATTAGCTATGGCTCGCAGTGGCAGAGCCGTGGTGGGACCTGGCTCACGGCGGTAGGAGTCGTGATGGGACCTGGCTCACGGCGATAGGAGTCGTGATCGGACGTGGCTTGCCGCGCAGAAGAAGTCACTTATCGGGCCTCTTGTTTCATGTCGTGATTGGCTGTGGTTGCGCGTGGATGAATTTGCCTGTATGGAAGCGCACGGGGTGGTGCTAGTCTTGTTGCTCGTCTCCCCTTCATGTTCATGGTCCGTTGACGGCGCTTTCCATTGCTCTGTCTGTTCATTTTCATTGAATAAATGCGTTCCCCAATTAATTGGACTGTGTTGGAGTGGTGTGTCCTGCCATGGGTAATGACTGTGTTCCAGAGCAATGCTACAGTTATTTTTTTCTGAATACCTTTCCCTCGAATTGACCTGGACACTGGTTCATTCAAGAGCCCCAACAAAGAGATTAAGTGGACGGTTGTTCGAAGGCTCATGTGTCTGGAAGGGTGCAAGGGTTCCCGTGCGGAGTTCGTGAGTAATCTCGAGGGCCCGACAGAATCTCCTGCCTGGTTTTCATTTCGAATAGCTGGCGACGGCAACGTTTCCTTGTGCCAAATCAGTGGCGACGCCTGAAGTGAAATAATAAATTTGAGAAAGTTGCCCCCAGCGGATTTTTTGCTGCTTCTGGGGGGTCGGGCAATGGAACATTCCTCCCTAAACAGGAGCAGCGACACATCAGACGGCCTATAGATTCTTCCCTTAGTAGTTTCGTTCGTGCGAACGAACTAATGAAGGACGGTTAAGTTGTTTTGGGGTTACCGACAACTAAACCAACGCGCCACACTTGTCAAGGGCGTGGATTTTGGTGTATCTTTGCAGAATACACAAAATATCTGCTGGAAAGATCTTTGTCACGTCTTAGTTTTCCAGATTATTTTTTCTTGGCTCCGTGCCAGGTAGTTAACAATTGATTCACTCGTTATATGTTGTGCTCCAGTAATGCGTCATTTGTTTGGCCTTGAGACAGCTGACCCATCTTCCAGCCGCTGCTATCACCCAAGCTCCACTGCGCACCTTAACGTAGCCTTGACTGCGGGTGCGCCGGATCGCGGAAGGTTGGGATCGATCGGGATTGGCCAGAGGGTCGCGGACGGCGGGGGACTGAGTTTTGTGAAAGGTGAGTGGTGATATTTAGACATTTCTTCAACTGGTTCTGCCGTAATTGCGCCGTTCCATTTATTTCTTTACTTATGCTAGCTGTTCGTGGAAAAATCTGATGTAGACTAAGCGGGTGCTCCGCAGTTTATAACAGCATTCATGACGATAGTTCTGGAGGATTTTTAAATTACTTATTCCTTGACTGGCTGGCAACTGCTTAGGCTGGATTTACCGTACTATCTTAACATCTCCTTGATTGTTGTGCCCGGTGCAATGGTTTATGAAGTGATATTTGTCCATATCAATTATATCAGTTAGACAATTTTAAAGGTGTTTACGTTTGCTCTTTAGGGTGAAAATATTACAACATTGTTTTTTGTTTAGATTAAATCCAAATGAGTTGGATGACAAGATTTCTGGGATCAGAGCTCAAACTAACCAGTGGTGTAGTTGTACTTTCCTACCTAATGTTAGAAAAAATCACTGTACACTATTTGTCATGTTTAAGGCAGAACATATCAAAGTAATCTCAAAACAGGTAGAATCATGCTCCTACCTTCAAATTTTAATAACTACAATGGCGAGCTCCTGAGCGCCACATGCACTGCACCACCTGGACTCCCCAGCACCGTTTCTGCATTGCCATTGCGTAATTACAATATTTCTGCTTACCAAGAACTATACAAAATGTACAAGACCAAGGTAACAATAATAATGCAATGAAAATAGTTTCTTATTGCATTTAGGTATGTTTATGAAACACATAGGCCAGAATAGTCCAGAACATAGCCTAAACTAGCCTAGCCTAACCTAACCTAACCTAACCTAACCTAACCTAACCTAACCTAACCTAACCTTACCTTACCTTACCTTATCTAACCTCATGGATTCTTGTTACCTTGGCCCAGTATGTTTTTATGGTTCTTGATGCTGCTTGGCGCGCAGTAATGTTGTGGCCGCACGCAGTAATGGCGCCGGTGTCGCGGCTGCTGTGTGTTTGCGGCAGTTGGATGTTCGGTATCATATTTAGTTATGTTCCAAGGTAAGAGTATAGATGACCTGTTTTGCTATTAATTATGATCTGTTCTGCCTTAAAAACAACAATTGATGTACAATGCTCTTTTGTAACATGAGGTAGGAAAGTACCCCCTGACCCATTCAACAATGAAGATATATTAGGAAAGGAGCTATTTTTGCAAGGTATTTGTACTATTTGTTACCTTGGGTGCACATCAGATAGTCAGAAATCCTCATTGTAGAAGGATTCAGAACTAGTAAAAGCTCAGTGGCCCTCATTCACTAAAAAGTGGAAGATTTGTCAGTCCATAAAATTGTTTATGTGTCCTATATTCAAGTAACATGTATTGGCATATCAGCCATAAAAAGGCACAGTTGTTTATTATTGACATATTAAGATATTGTACATACATGTTAGCAGTCATGCCATACATCCTGCTTAAAGCCCATACTGGAAGTTGGAGTTCACCATGTCACAGTCATTCTTTTTCTGATGCATCCCCCATGCTAAGTCACAACTCCTGTATTAAGATACATTGTTTTATTTTGTTACTATTGAATTGTCTATCCAAATCTCTGATTTCACCTTTAATAACACTGTATCTAGGCTGTGCTCCGCAGAATCCAGTCCAGTTTCTGGTTCCTGCCACATGCTATTGACCTGAAAGTGATTAGGCTAATCTATTTTCAGAGTTCAGTTGCCTGGTGATCAGGTAAAGCAGGGGTTCCACACTGCTGATGCTGCCAGGTCTCATCAGCATGGAGGAGTCTGAGCTGTCGCCTCGCATCGGCCCGCGCCGCCGCCAGAGGGCCAGCGGCCAGCGCGTCTGCGGCTGCGTCCATGTGCGCACTGGCACCATCATGCTGGGAATGTGGCATCTGGTCAGTGACTGGGCGGTTGCTGCTGTCTGGTTGTGTTGATGTGTGCATCAGACTGATAAAACTACAGTTTGAACATTTAGGGCATGAGCTGGTTATCATCCGGTTTGCACATTGCCATGTAGGCAGCCGATGTGCAACAATTCAGAGATAAAACTACAGTTTGAACATTTAGGGCATGAGCTGGTTATTATCCGGTTTGCAAACATTGCCATGTAGGCGGCCGATGTGCGACAATTCAGAGGATTTAGTTGACTCATGTTTGATTCAATTTCTCAGTCTAGCTGTCAACAACCTATGAGCTGGAGGTGGCCAACTTTCTGCCTGAAATTCACAAAGGGGCTGAACATTGAACATGCTGCCCCTGTCTGACATCCAGTGAGCATATCACAACCTTTTGGCAGGTGATGAACGTGCTGGCCCTGTCGGCGCTGGCCATGGTCATCTTCCACCCAGAGATGTTGCAACATGTGCAGCTGGAGCGCGCGCCGACGGCCAACCTGTCGGCGGAAGGGGCCGGCAGCGAGGCGGTGCTGCCGCCGCGCGTCATGCCCAAGTACGGCCCCACGTACTCGGTGCTGGGCGGCCAGGTCTGGAACGTGGACGACCTCAACATAGGCATAATGATCACCTTTTGCACGTTCATCATCACGCTGCTGATGGTGGTAGGCGCCATCAAGGGACAGCCCTCCTACCTGATGCCCTTCTTCTGTCTGCAAGTGTTCGACTTCTGCATCTCCAGGTAGGCAGTGTTGCCACGTCGGCCCGCTAATGCTATTTTCAAGTTTTTTAGCACATTGATTTGAGCTTTCCATGAAGTTTTTCTCTTCAACCGATCCTCTAGCGTGAAAACGACGATGCGTTATCATGCTGGTTCGCTTGTTGTCTGCCGTAAGCGGTTGTCGAGCACCGTATGTTTCCATCTACTACGCCGGTGTGCTGTGAATCGTCCCAGCACCAGTGCCGCTCCAGCGACGGTGTCTGACGTGCCGCTTCCTCCCCAGCCTGACCATGATCAGCTACTTCTCCTTCATGCCGGACCTGCACGTGATGCTGGTGCGCTCATCGAGCCTGCCGTTCCGCGACCAGCTGCTGCGCCTGGACCAGCGCTGGCTCTCGCTCATTCTGATGGTGGCCTTCCTCGTCGCCATGGTGATCAAGGTGAGACTCGCCGGTTGGAGGCCATCCTCGTTGCCATGGTGATCAGGTTGAGATGCGCCGGCCGGAGGCCTTCCTCGTCGCCATGGTGATCAAGGCGAGACGCGCTGGCCGCGGGCCTTCCTCGTCGCCATGGTGATCAAATTGAAACGCGCCGGCCGGAGACGTCCCCGTCTCGTCGGCTCGTTGTTGGCGTTGCTGCGAACTGGGCTCGCACGACGGGTCCGTGCGGACTCGGCCTAGCTCCCACGGGTGAGCGCCGTGAGGTCGCCAAAAAGGCTCGCACTACCGCAGGCTCTGCGTCTTGCCTGGCCGATGGGTCATGAAACCGTCCTCAGCACGACGCTTTGCTCTCAGGCCATCCTCTGTGTGAGTTGTGTGGAGCGGGAGGACGTCACATCACATTACTCGTTCCGCAAGCGCCCGCTCCTGAGGATGAGCGGATGTTTGCGGAACGAGTAATGCCCGACGGACATCCGGGGAGGTGCCGGATTACTGGGTCGGCTGACGCGCCGCGTCCGTCGGCAGGCGTACCTCATCGCCATGGTGTGGGCCTGCTACCGCTACCTGCTGATGCGCCAGGCCGGCGGCGGCGGCGGCGGCGGCGGCGGCGCACCGGCCGAACCCGACCCGGCGGCCTCGCTGCCCGACTACGAGGTGGCGCTCTCCGACCCGCGCTTCTCCAAGGTCGACCTGGCCAACTATCCGGCGCCGCCGCCCAGCTACGACGCCGCCACCAGCGAGGCGGGCGCGCGCGCCAAGTAGACGCCGCGCGCTGCCGCCCGGCCGCGGCAGGACGACGGGTGGGCTCTGTGACCCGGGAGGAGGGAAGGGTGGACACCGGGCCGGTCTGGGTCGATGGAGGAGTGACGGGAGATGAACGGGTGGACGTTCCGGGCCGGCTGGCGGCGGGCGGTGTAGCGGGGCACGCGGGACGCTCGGTCACTGATCGGGCGGGCTGGTGTGTTACGGTATCCTTGGGCGGCCGGGGGCCGGGCCGGTAGCGAGAACCGCGCGCCAAGCGGCGGCGGCCGGCGATGTAGCGGGGCACGCGGGACGCTCGGTCACTGGTCGGGCGGGCTGGTGTGCTACGGTATCCTCGGGCGGCCGCGGGGCTAGGACGGTGGCGAGAGCCGCGCACCGAGCGGCGGCGGCCGGCGGTCAACTTAACGGCGGGTCCGGCTGTGACGTCACGGACGCGTATATTTTCTCTGCCGTGGTCCTGGGGCCGCGCTGCACCGTCGCACGCGCCGCCGACTCACTCTCCGATAGATGTAAGGCACGCCGCCGGCCTCCGGCGTCCGCACGCGTCCCACATTTTGTCCTGGCGTGGGACTGAACCCGTGGGGGGGCTGACCCTTATGCCCCCCCCCCCCTTCCCCGCTGTCTGTCGCAGCGGGGGACGGCCCTTTGTTTCGGCGTGGACTGACCCTGCGGAGAGCCGCCCCTCTACCGGTGGGGGGGGTGACACTCTGTCCCGGTAGGAGACCGGCCCTCTGTTCCGACGGAGGACTGACCCTCTGTATCGGTGGCGATCCGGACGCGTGCGGGCCGACTGGTTAGGCGGTGAGGTGCGTGCTTAGGTGTTGTCAGTGATAGTCTCCTTGCGGTGGTTATATTGCTGTAGCGCGCGCCGCAGGTGTCGCGCCCACAGCTTCTGTTTGTCTTTCACTTACATTAGCACCAGCGGCACTGCACTGGTTGTTTGGGCAGCTGGGTCCCGGATTTTAGGAGGTGTTTGGCGCCCGTTTCATCGAAAAGTAGCTCGAGTTTGTGTATCAAAGTTCGTTTAAATTGCACAAGGACGCGGCTGTGTCCCGGACCTGGGCCCACTTACTGCAGAAGAGAACGAAACTACGACTGTACGCAATCGAAAGCGCGCGATGTAAACACGTGTTCTCAATGTAGTCATGCTAGTTTGATTTTGAGTTGTAAGATCGTTTGTTAACAAAACGATTGGGGAACCTTTTTGTGTGCTGAAACTGTCCACACGGCGCGAGTTTAAGTGCTTTAGTTCGTAGTTTTATCTTGGGAAGCTGGGCACAGGTGTCTCCGTTTGAAAATCAGCTGTGAATACAAGCCAAAGAAACGTCGGCATTAGGATGTGTCATGCGGCTGACTGCTGGCCGCGAACCGGAATCTGGCCTGGAGCAGATCTCGCAGGGGCCGCCGGGAAGAGATCTGGTAGGGCCTGGCCCAAGTAGGAACCAGGTGGAAGAACGAACTAGTCTTGTCAGATGTTAGACGACTGTCGGTGTCGCTCCGGAACAAGAATCAGTTTATCTTCATGGAAGCACCCTGGTCATCGCACGAGGCATGCTCTAGCGGATTTGTTGGCATAACTGCAGCCCGTTTGATCGCCGCCAAATTCCTCCGTCTGTGGTAAGGAGCGGTTCACACACGGACGTGAGCTGGTGAGATCGGCCATGAACAATGTGTTTGCATAGATGACCACGCACGCACTCCCGTGCAGTTGAAATAAGACCTGGAGTCCCCACTCCCGAGTATGAAGCCCGGGGACTGCTTAGCGCACCGCTACGCGCTGCTGGCTGCCCGTGGCACGAACCTGGAGACTGCCGCCCGCCGGCCGTCCGGCGGGCTGGCCGCCACATGCGAAAGTAGTGGCAGCGGAGCGTGTGGGGGCGTCCGCCACATTATGATGCTGTTTCTATTACATAGGTCTAGATGTGAAGAGTGTGTGACGACAAAGCAGAGCAGGAGCACAGGATGCGTGCTGGCGTCGCAGAACCTTACCACTGCACTGGTTAAAGATGCGTGCGCGCTCAATAAGTCAGGTGCAGTGCAGTTTCTTACTCAGTTCGGGGGGGGGGCTTCAGCCATCCCCCCTCCGACTTTGAGAATAAAGTGGGCCAAATCTAGGGAGAAGCCCGTCTGCTGTAATGTGGTAGAAGGATGTATGTCCTCACCGTTCACCCCCCCTCCCCCCCCCAACTCATTTCGAAAATGCGCAGTCACGTGTAATCATTTAACTTTCAAATCACACGCATCTTGAATTCCAGCCAAGCCCCTGTTACCAAATTACTAAAACCCCCGTTCGGATGAAATTGTGTATAAGCGTTTCGCATTTCGTCACAACGAACCGGCCAAGCAGTCAGCGCGCGGCGGCTGTCGTTCTACCCGCTCAGTGCACTCAGTTTGTATTGGACACGCCGGTGCCGGCGGCTGTCGTTCTACCCACGCTCAGTGCACTCAGTTTGTACTGGACACGCCGGTGCCGGCGGCTGTCGTTCTACCCTCGCTCAGTGCACTCAGTTTGTATTGGACACGCCGGTGCCGGCGGCTGTCGTTCTACCCTCGCTCAGTGCACTCAGTTTGTATTAGACACGCCGGTGCCGGCGGCTGTCGTTCTACCCACGCTCAGTGCACTTAGTTTGTACTGGACACGCCGGTGCCGGCGGCTGTCGTTCTACCCACGCTCAGTGCACTCAGTTTGTATTAGACACGCCGGTGCCGGCGGCTGTCGTTCTACCCACGCTCAGTGCACTTAGTTTGTACTGGACACGCCGGTGCCGGCGGCTGTCGTTCTACCCCGCTCAGTGCACTCAGTTTGTATTGGACACGCCGGTGCCGGCGGCTGTCGTTCTACCACCCGCTCAGTGCACTCAGTTTGTATGGACACGCCGGTGCCGGCGGCTGTCGTTCTACCCCGCTCAGTGCACTCAGTTTGTATTAGACACGCCGGTGCCGGCGGCTGTCGTTCTACCCACGCTCAGTGCACTTAGTTTGTATTGACACGCCGGTGCCGGCGGCTGTCGTTCTACCCTCGCTCAGTGCACTTAGTTTGTATTGGACACGCCGGTGCCGGCGGCTGTCGTTCTACCCCGCTCAGTGCACTTAGTTTGTATTACACGCCGGTGCCGGCGGCTGTCGTTCTACACCCGCTCAGTGCACTCAGTTTGTATTAGACACGCCGGTGCCGGCGGCTGTCGTTCTACCCACGCTCAGTGCACTTAGTTTATTGACACGCCGGTGCCGGCGGCTGTCGTTCTACCCCACGCTCAGTGCACTCAGTTTGTATTGACACGCCGGTGCCGGCGGCTGTCGTTCTACCCACGCTCAGTGCACTCAGTTTGTATTAGACACGCCGGTGCCGGCGGCTGTCGTTCTACCCACGCTCAGTGCACTCAGTTTGTATTGGACACGCCGGTGCCGGCGGCTGTCGTTCTACCCACGCTCAGTGCACTCAGTTTGTATTAGACACGCCGGTGCCGGCGGCTGTCGTTCTACCCCTCGCTCAGTGCACTCAGTTTGTATTAGACACGCCGGTGCCGGCGGCTGTCGTTCTACCCACGCTCAGTGCACTCAGTTTGTATGGACACGCCGGTGCCGGCGGCTGTCGTTCTACCCACGCTCAGTGCACTCAGTTTGTATTGACACGCCGGTGCCGGCGGCTGTCGTTCTACCCTCGCTCAGTGCACTCAGTTTGTATGACACGCCGGTGCCGGCGGCTGTCGTTCTACCCACGCTCAGTGCACTCAGTTTGTATTGGACACGCCGGTGCCGGCGGCTGTCGTTCTACCCGCTCAGTGCACTCAGTTTGTATTGGACACGCCGGTGCCGGCGGCTGTCGTTCTTCTACCCACGCTCAGTGCACTCAGTTTGTATTGGACACGCCGGTGCCGGCGGCTGTCGTTCTACCACGCTCAGTGCACTCAGTTTGTATTGACACGCCGGTGCCGGCGGCTGTCGTTCTACCCACGCTCAGTGCACTCAGTTTGTATTAGACACGCCGGTGCCGGCGGCTGTCGTTCACCACGCTCAGTGCACTTAGTTTGTATTGGACACGCCGGTGCCGGCGGCTGTCGTTTCTA